CAATCCGATATACACCAAGACATGTCTGCAATCTGATATACACCAAGACATGTCCGCAATCCGATATACACCAAGACATGTCCGCAATCCGATATACACCAAGACATGTCCACAATCCGATATACACCAAGACATGTCCGCAATCCGATATACACCAAGACATGTCTGCAATCCGATATACACCAAGACATGTCCACAATCCGATATACACCAAGACATGTCCGCTAACTGATATACACTAAGACAGTTCTAACCATATACACCAAGATATGTCCGTAACTGATATACACCAAGACATAACCAAAACTGACATATACCAAGACATGTCCCTAATCCATATAAGTACCAAGACATGTCTTACAATTGATATACACCAAGACATATCTACAACTGTATATACACTCAAGACATGTCTACACCATATACACCAAGACATGTCTCAAGTAACTGAGCATATACACCAAGACATGTCTGCAATCCGATATACACCAAGACATGTCTGCAATCCGATATACACCAAGACATGTCCGCAATCTGATATACACCAAGACATGTCCGCAATCTGATATACACCAAGACATGTCCGCAATCTGATATACACCAAGACATATCCGCAATCCGATATACACCAAGACATGTCCACAATCCGATATACACCAAGACATGTCCACAATCCGATATACACCAAGACATGTCCGCAATCCGATATACACCAAGACATGTCCACAATCCGATATACACCAAGACATGTCCGCAATCCGATATTCCAAGACATGTCCGCAATCTGATATACACCAAAACATGTCCATAATCTGATATACACCAAGACATGTCTGCAATCCGATATACACCAAGACATGTCCATAATCTGATATACACCAAGACATGTCCGCAATCCGATATACACCAAGACATGTCTGCAATCCGATATACACCAAGACATGTCCGCAATCCGATATACACCAAGACATGTCCGCAATCCGATATACACCAAGACATGTCCCCAATCCGATATACACCAAGACATGTCCACAATCTGATATACACCAAGACATATCCACAATCCGATATACACCAAGACATGTCCACAATCCGATATACACCAAGACATGTCCGCAATCCGATATACACCAAGACATGTCCACAATCTGATATACACCAAAACATGTCCATAATCTGATATACACCAAGACATGTCTGCAATCCGATATACACCAAGACATGTCTGCAATCCGATATACACCAAGACATGTCCGTAATCTGATATACACCAAGACATGTCCGCAATCTGATATACACCAAGACATGTCCGCAATCTGATATACACCAAGACATGTCCATAATCTGATATACACCAAGACATGTCCACAATCCGATATACACCAAGACACGTCCATAATTTGATATACACCAAGACATGTCCGCAATCTGATATACACCAAGACATGTCCGCAATCCGATATACACCAAGACATGTCTGCAATCCGATATACACCAAGACATGTC